GGTGTTGAAGGGCAGGTTGGATGGGGCTTGGAGCAGCCTGGAATGGTGGGAGGTGTCCCTGCCCATGCAGGGGTTGGGAATGGATGGGCTTTAATCTCCCTTCCAACCCAAACCAGCCTGAGGTTCTCTGTAATTAATCTGTTTTCCCACATGAGGAGGATGAACACAGGGTGAGATGGACTTGGTGGTCTTGGTGAGGAGCTGGGATGGGTTGGTTGTTGATGCCCCATCCCTGGAGGTTTTTAAGGCCAGGTTGGATGAGGTTTGTGCAGCCTGGGCTGGTGGTTCCTGCTCGTGGCAGGTTGAACCTGGGGATCTTTAAGGTCCCTTCCAACCTTCATGATTCTGTGATCTTAAAAGTGTTTTCCAACCAATGATGCTGTGTGACCAAGCCCCTGTCTCTCCCCGCTCAGGGTGCTGGCAGCAGCACACCTGGAGCCGAGGTCTGCACAGGTGGCCTCCCCTGCTTCACCCAGCCCGGGCCCACCTTCTCCATCAGGATCTGCAGCTGCCCAGGCTCCTGGCAGTCTCCAACATGCCACTGGTGGGTGCACAGCCCTACCACCCAGCTGCTGGCCTCTGAAATGAGAGCAAAAGGAGAGCAGGGTGTCCAGGCAGGCGCTGCTAATGGGAGTGCTGAGAGGAATCCTGTCCCAGCTCTTTGGTGGGCTGTCTGGGGACATTGCTGGTCATCCTGACACAAAAAGGCACCAAGAAAATAATGCACCCTGGGGGTTCCTGCTTCTCAGCAGAGGTGCCAGAATGACCAGCACAATGGAGTTGCCATAATGTATTTTTACTCACAAAATGCTTTCCCTGTGGATCTGCCTTAATTGTCAGATTAGCAGGTCCTGCCTTCTCTGTGGGAAAAGATACCTGGGGCTTCAAAAAAACACCTCAGAGTGGAAGGGCTGCACGTGTAACAGCTGCAAACGTTGTTTGCAGTTACAAATATGTATGCATAGGTAGGGTTTTCTTTGGGTGCAAGAAATTTTTCATAATTTAGTTTTTACTATCAGTTGCTTGTTTGCAAGGAAATCCTTGCAAACTAACCCTTAGAAATGAGGGGGATGAGGAAGTAGCACCCCCAGCCCCCAAGTAACTTCCAAAAATGAAGCATTTTGAAAGCTGGTATAAAAAAAAATAATAATTCCTTTGTAGGGTGCCAGTGTTACAGTTCTGTGGAGCTGAACGTGTTCCAGGTCTGCCAACTGAGAGGGGAGAATTTGTACCTCCAGCAGGAGGCTTCTTTTACCCTGCACTAGTCACCTGTGGTACCCGAGCCATGATTTGCAGGAGGCAGTTTCTCCTCTGTGTGTCAGTATCTGCTGAGGTTTGCACAGCTTGTAAGCAGCTGGGGCTGTGCTGCTGTTCCACCAGTGCCAGCAGACACTGAGGGGGGCTGAGGCAGTGGACAGGGCTCCCACACTTCTGGTTTAGAATCCAGTAACACTTGGGAAAGAAATGGTGTATATACAGGTATGGGATGGCATTCCCTGTGTGGGGAAGAGTGGGCCTGGGGGAGACTTCTTCCCAGGCTGTCTTTGAAATTGGATGTGTTCTCTTGTAAATGCAGGGCAGGGTCTGTAAGAGGTAAGGTAGTGTCTTCACAATGTACCTTTATCTGAGAAGAAACACAGCGGTTGTTGGTGCCAGGGTCCTCACAGGCAGTGCTGCTGGGTGATGAGCTGTGCCCTTCCTTCAGGTGAAGTCTGTGAGTGTAAGTCCCTGGCTGGTCGAGGACCATTTTGATACCACTGTCAAGATGAGCACCCACCTTGTGGCCTTCATGGTTTCGGATTTTAAATCCATCAGCAGAACGACCCGTCGTGGAGTTAAGGTACCTCTGCCTCATTTCCAAGGAGCTTTGCTGTCTTTCAGTCTCTGTGAATACGTAATGGTTTAGGTTTATGTAAAATCATTGGATTTATGTATCTCAAAGTTCTATAGGAATGAAAGGCGAGAAAGAAATTGGGTTTGTAATTGGATCATTAGTTTGCCTTCTGAGCTTTATTGCTTGTGAAAGTTTTTAGTGACAGGCTGCCTTTTTATATAATTGTATGCATTGGTAAAGGAGTTTGTTTAATGTAAGATTACAAAATGAAATGCAAATTAAACACACTGTCCATGGAGGATCAGCACTGAAATAACCTGTGTCAGCTGAACAACTAACACGGCAGGGGTGGAGATGGCAGAAGCCTTCGTAGGGCCATAGCAGTTATGGTGGGTAGAGTTTAAAACTTGCATTCCTGGTTCTGGCAAAGTTTTCCTTTGCACGAGGAGTGTGAGGGATGTGCTCTGATGTCCCTTCCTGTGGTAATTGCCATGCTTAGAGCTCCTGATGCTGAGGTGCTGCCTCCCCTCTGCTCCAGGTCTCTGTACACGGTGCCACACAAGATCAGCCGGGCTCACTATGCCCTGGATGCAGCAGTCAAGCTGCTGGACTTCTATGAGGATTACTTCAGCATCCCATATCCTTCACCTAAACTAGGTAAGTGTTAAATCAGGCAGAGAACAGCAAAGAGTGAAATAGCACAAAGTCAACAATTTAGGGTCTTGAGACAAGGCCAAGTTTGGCTAACAGGCTTTTAAACTAGCTGCTTTGCAGTACTTAAGGACAGATGGAACAGCTCCACTGGGAGCTTAAAATCCTTGTTGTCTGTACAGAGCTTTTTATAAAAGTATGTTTTTGCTGTTACCTTTAAGGGAGCCCTGAGAAATACATGTGATACATGTGGGAGGAGAGGGTGGGTGACTTCCTTATTGAGAGAAATGGCTCTAGTGTTATTTTGATGTGTTTTTTTTTTTCTAGATTTAGCATCTATTCCTGATTTTAAGTCTGGTGCTATGGAGAACTGGGGACTGACCATGTGCCGGGAATCAGCCTTGTTGTATGACCCTGAGAAGTCCTCAGCATCTTCCAAACTGTGGATCACCAGTGTAATAGCTCATGAGCTGGCTCATCAGGTGGGATCTGTGGGAGAACAGGGAGCCTGAATGGGCCTGCAGAGGGGTGGGGGTTGGTGGATCCTGTGCAGGTCAGGGGATCTTGGAGCTATAGGCTGGAAATAGCTGCTTCAGCCTGAGGGAGCTCATCTGGGAATGACCAGGAGTGTTCCTGGTGAAGGAATCCCAGCATGTAAACATCAGTGTGATCAGTCCGGCAGCTCCAGTGGCGTCTTTTGCACCAGGGTCAGCCCTTGAAATTCACTGCAGGCCTCTAAAACTGGAGCAGAACAGACTGGGAAGGTTGACTGTTCCATATGTAATATGGTAATGGTTTTAAACTGAGAGAGGGGAGATTTAGGTGAGATACTAGGCAGAAATTCCTCACTGTGAGGTTGGTGAGGAGCTGGGATGGGTTGGTTATTGATGCCCCATCCCTGGAGGTTTTTAAGGCCATGTTGGATGAGGTTTGTGCAGCCTGGGCTGGTGGTTCCTGCTCATGGCAGGGGGGTTGGAGCTGGATGATCTTTAAGGTCCCTTCCAACCTTCATGATTCTATGATTCTAGGATATGTGGCTCTCCTGCCAAATGTGGTTTCTTTACGAGGTTTCTTGGATCATGAATGGCAGCCAGTGGTTCAGCATGTCACCATTAGGGTGAGAAATGCAATGGGAAGAGGCCAGAGCAAACTGCATCATGAAAAAACCCCTTCCTTAGGGATCAATAACATGCTATAAATGCAGTTCCCTGCAGGTCTGTAGCAGCTTCTCTGGTAAATTGTGTGTTTTGTTTCAGAAGCTTTTTTAATGTTTCCTTCTTCTGCAGTGGTTTGGCAACCTGGTTACCATGGAGTGGTGGAATGACCTGTGGCTGAACGAAGGGTTTGCCAAGTTCATGGAGTTCGTGTCAATCAGTGTTACCCACCCAGAACTGGGAATTGTGAGCAGCAGTATTTCTGTTCTATAACTGCCTTCTAAATCCAATAATTAGTCAGGATAAAGATCAGGTGGGTTTGTGCTGTGCCTCACTGTCAGATTTCTGTTGAAGAGGATTATTTTCTGTTAACTCTGAAGGGTAGGAATGTTGAATTAACTGTCTTACGTATTTTTGGGAACTGATGATGGAAGTTAATAATTGCAGTGGAAGTGTATTTTTTTTAAATTTATTTTTTTTTAAAGATATTTAGGCTCCTAAAATGTGAAGAGATTATTTTCCTTATATTGGGCCAGACTTGAAAACACTGAAATCCTTCCACTGAGCTTCAGCAGAGGTCCAATATAGGAAATTTCCTACAGAATTGGATGAGCAGTGCTTCTGGGCAGCATTTTGCCAAAGCACCAAAACGGCACTTTCTAGAGAAAGTCACCATTTATTTTATTTTTAATTTGCTTTATGGTGACTGGCCAACCTGTCATCAAAGTGTTGGGATGTATGGGTTTTTTTGGAGTTATTTTGATGTCTCACTAGCTCCACTGTTTAGAATCACAGGCTGGTTTGGGTTGGAAGGGACCTTTGGGGGTCATCTGGTCCAGCCCCTGCCATGGGCAGGGACATCTTCAACCAGATCAACTGTTTAAGTTAGTTTAGAACACCAGGACTCATCTGTCTGTCTGCATGACTGTCTTGGGTGATTTTATGCTCTGGAATAAAAATAAAGGGATGTTTTTTTCTGTCTGTGTATGATACAAAGATCACATGGAATGGACTGAAAAGTGAACAAATAGGGATTTGGAGGTCGCTGAGCAAAACTGAGCAGTAATACTTGGTTTTGCCTCCAATTAGGAAGACCATTTCCTGAGTAGATGTTTTGATGCCACGGCTGTGGATTCATTGAATTCATCACATCCTGTATCTACCCCTGAGGAAGATCCAGCTCAGATTTTAGACATATTTGACAGTGTTTCTTATGACAAGGTAAAATACATGATGGCCCTGATTCCAGTCCTTGTCCTGCACCCTTGTGTTTTACTCATTCCCCCCTACATGTAGGACATCCCTGACACATGGTGTCAGTGGCTTTATGACTGGAATAAACCCTTGTCCAAAACACCTGCGTGCACTCAAATGGCACTTGCTTTTCCCGTTTCTAACATGAGGAGATCTTTGCTTCTTCTTTCTGGTCTGTGTCAATTTTAAGCCATTTTTCTGGATTCTTAACCCAAGGAGCATTTTTCAGTGGAGCATTTTGTGGTGCTGGCTTGTATAGTGACTAAAAAAAAATCATAGCTTACCCAATCAGTGTTGTTTTTAAGGGTAATGATGACCAAAAAAAATCAAAGTACTGTTTCAGGATACATGAAACCTGATTATTTTTTGATGAGAGAGACACAACCAAGTGAACTGTTACACAGATTGGTGGGCATGCTGAAATTCTTCTGAAACGAGCATTTTGCAGCCTCAGGAGTAGTTCTGCAAACCCTTTGTCACTCGCCTTCTAGTTTTTTGTGCTGGTTTTTTTTTTCCAGGGATCCTGTGCATTGAACATGCTGAGGGACCACCTGAGTGTTGCAGGCCGGGCTCGTGCGGCACCTGCAGGAATTACAGATAACCAGAACACGAGGGATGAGCACCTGTGGAACAGCATGACCAAAGCAAGGACTCCTCATTCTCTCTTTTTTTTTGTTTCTCAAATGTTGTGACTTCTCATGGATGGTGTGTACCTCTAACACATCACTGAAGGCTGTGACCAGTGCTGCTGCTGCTGATACCAGAGGGAGGTGGAAAAAACACTGCACAGGCTGGCAGGTCCTGCTGCTCCTTCCCCCTCAGGAAGAAGGATTCCTCACAGTCCTGCCCTGCTCCCCACAGGTCCCTCCCTGGCAGATCCTCCCCCAGCCTCTCCTCCAGGAGCCCTTCCCACCAGGAGCTGCTCCAGCGCTGCCCGCAGAGCCCGGGGGCTTCAGGAACAGGCACCTCCCCTGGCCCGGGGGCTCCCACAGCTGCACCAGCCCAGGCCATGGGCTGCAGGGCCAAGTTCACCCCTCCTGGCACCCCCAGGGAATGTTCCACAATGTTTCTCCATGGATGCAGGGGCACAGCTGCCATCAGTCCATGGGCTGCAGGGAAACTTCTGCTCAGGGACCTTCTTCCCCTTCCTCCTCACCAGCCCTGGGATCTTCACCCTGGCCCTGCTCTGCCTCTCCAGCCCAGCTTTGCTCTCCCTGCTCTCAGGCCTTACATCAGCTCTTCCATACCTTAATTGCAGAGGCTCATCTATTGTCTCTCTAATGACCCGACCTTGGCCACCTGAGCGCAGGAAGCTTAAGCAGCTTCTTCCCAGAGCCACCCCTGGGTCCCTCCCCCGATACCAAAACACTCCCCAGGCCAGGACTCTGCTCCGTCTTCAGCTTCTCAGCTTTGGGGAAAATTAACCAGTATTCCTGGTACAGCCACAGCGCCCTGTTTGCTCCACCCCCTTAATTGAGGAAGCCTCAATTAGCCAGTGTGTGCAGACACACGGCGTCCCCTCTGGGGAGGGAAGGAGTCACAAGCAGGTAAGGAGGTGTCACTGACACCAGCAGAGCTGAGGCTGGTGGAGCCATGTGAGCTGTCACTAACACACCCTCTGCAGAGCTGTGTGCTCAGAACCACCAGCACCATCAGAACTGCTCCTCTGCACCAACCAGAGGGAATCAATCCCCTGGGATCCACAGGGATCACAGGATTCATTACCACACAGTTCTTCATCCATTGTCCTAGAGTGACTGTTGATCATGGAATGATCTGGATGGAAAAGGGGCATTGAAGATAATCCAGTCCCACCCCTGCATGGGCAGGGACACCTCCCACCATTCCAGGCTGCTCCAAGCCCCATCCAACCTGCCCTTCAACACCCCCAGGGATGGGGCAGCCACAGCTTCCCTGGGCAACCTGGGCCAGGCTCTCCCCACCCTCACAGCACAGAATTTCTCCCTCCCATCTCAGCTCCAGCTCCCTCTGCCAGCTGGAAACCCTTCCCCCTGCTCCCATCCCTCCCTGCCCTTGTCCCAAGCCCCTCCCCAGCTTTCCTGGAGCCCCTTCAGGCCCTGGAAGCTGCTCTCAGGTCTCCCTGGAGCCTTCTCTTCTCCAGGCTCAACACCCCAACTCTCCCAGCCTGGCTCCAGAGCTGCTCCAGCCCTCCCAGCACCTCCAGGGCCTCCTCTGGCCTCTCTCCAACAGCTCCATGTCCCTCCTGTGCTGGGGACCCCAGCCTGGCCCCAGCCCTGCAGGGGGTCTCAGCAGAGCAGAGCAGAGGGGACAATCCCCTCCCTGGCCCTGCTGGTCACGCTGCTGGGGATGCAGCCCAGGACACGGGTGGGCTCTGGGCTCTGAGCACATGGGGCCATGGGGAGCTGCTCATCACCAACACCCCCAGCTCCTTTTCATCCATATTCCACCCAGCCTGGAATTGTGCCCTGATCCAGGGACAGGACCCTGCACTTGGCCTTGCTGGACTTCATGCTGTTTGCACAGTTCCAGCTCTGCAGCCCCCTGTAGATGGATCCGTGTCTCCCAGTCTCTCATCCCCACACTGTGGTGTGGACAGTTCATCCCACCCTCCGTGTTGCTGACATGGATGTTAAATTGTTTCTGTATCCTACAGTTCAGCAGAAATGCAACTGCAACTTCTCAGCACAGCAACAACGTTATTTCTGAAGACCCTTGTGCTTGTGTCACAGCCCTTCAGCTGCACCACAGGAGCCCACAGGACGAGTCTGCTCCCAGTTCATTGTGGAGCTTTGAGGACGAAAGGGGAGAAAACCACTGACAACTGCTTTACAGGTGTGGGCTTTTTAAAACAATATATTCAGCTTTAACAGGCCAGTGTTTGGGGTTGATTACTTGTGGGGTTTCCTTTGTCTTTCAACAGCAGCTCAGGTACCAGCAGCGACCAGTGAGAAGAGTTGCAAGCACCAAGATGCATTCTTAAAAACTTTATTAGTGTGACACAGGTTCTCAGCACAGACTGCCAAGTACAGTCAGAAGTCTAAATATCCCCAACTTTGATCTCCAGGCTGTCCCTGTCTGCGAGGCTACACACTAGAGTCTGGTTTTGGTGCCAGCAGGAGTGCTGCTCTGCCCTTCCTCTGGGAGCTCAGGCTGCAGCAGCAGAGGGGCCAGGAGGGGCAGGTGTCCTGCAGGACATGGGGGGACAGCAGGACAGCGTGGCCAGGACAGCCCTGTCTGCAGCAGCCTCCCCACAGCTGCCTGCTCCTGCCTGGCCTCCTGCAGAGCAGGCAAATGGGACATTGCTCCTGGCAGCATCTTCTGCCCTGCTCCTGCATTCCCTTCTGGAGGAAGGGGGACAAAAGCAAGGAGTAGAAACAGTGCAAATTTAAAATATAACAACAAAACACAAAACAAACAAGTCCACCTGTTGACCTGAACTTCTCTTTGATCTCTACTAAGGCTCAGGGACCTTCCTGACCTCCTCTTCTGTGATGCTAAAGGTGTCATTGTCACACCAGGGTTTCCATTTGTTCAGTCCAGGAGACTCCTGAAATTATGAGATAACAGTACAAGACACCACTGGAAATTAAAAAAAAAACAAGACACTAAAATTCTCATCTGGTGTGTTTTTGTTGTTTTACCTACAGTTAAGGCAGCATCTAAAATACCTGTTTAATCACTAGATGCACGTGATGAAGCAGTTAATCCCCAGTTTCTCATTCTTCAGCCACCCACAGGTTACCTGTGGTTTCCCACCAGGAACTGGCTTGAGGAAAGGCTGAAGCCAAGGCTGGGGACAACTAAAGCTCATTATATTCCAGAATACCTGATGCATTCACTGCAATGCTAAAAATGCCAGCACATACAAATTCTTCTGAGATTTACAGGCACTGCGTGGAGATTATGTGCAAAAGTCTGCAGAATTCTTTTTTGTGTTTGTTTTGGGGTTTTTTTGGCATTGCTATTCATTTATGAAATATACTTATTGAAAATATAAAGCATTCTTTCCCTCTGAAAACTGGAGACATTTACAAAAAAGTCAAAGTATATGAGTGTAATAAAAATAGTAGGCATGGGGGGGGGGGGAGAAAAACAACCACCTTATTCTACTACTGGGAAATAAAAAGAAAGTATGAAGAAAGTCCAGCAAGTATCACTGTACAAAAACCACCCAGAATAACCACATGATTTTTGCATCAGCTTCAGTTCTTCAGGAGTAATTATCCACCAACAGAGAGCAGAGGTTTTACATGATGCACTAAGATTCTGGGGAGGGAAGAAGAAGGGGAAAAAAAAATAAATTAGATTGCTTATGTTCTTAAACTTGGAAAAAAACAGATCACAAACTAAATCTAGGAAGAATTAATCAGAAAGATCAGCCTCTCTCCTCCACAGCCCAGGACACCCTCCAGCCTAAGGACTTGTACCCAAGTGTATCATCAGCACTTCAGCGAGCTAGCTGGTGATGATGATGGGAGATGCAACCATCACTCTTACACTGAGGGTGTGAGAAGTAAATACAAGAAGCAGGGGTGGCCCTGGAACATGTGCAGGGAGAGGCTGTGTCTGTGCCAGGGGAACCAGAGCAGAGCCCTGGACCTGGGGACACCTGCAGCCCAGCTGAGGGGCTGTGTCTGCCCTGGGTGCTGCTCCTGAGCTAGCCTGGTGCAGGAACAGTGACACCAGCTCAGTGTATTGGGGATAAACCAGCCAGCTGAGATGTGCTTGATCCTCATTATGCTGTGAAAACGTCACTGGGGAAGCAGATGTCAGGCCTTGGAGTGCTTAGCTGCACCAACCTGAAGGAATTTAGCTACAGGAGGTAATTCTGTACCAACTGTACAAGCAAAGCGTGAAACGAATATATCTTCTCTGCCTCAGATTCACTGCCCTGAAGTTCCAAGTCACAGAATCACAGACTGGTTTGAGTTGGAAGGGACCTTACAGATCATCTAAACCCAACCCCCTGCATGGCAGGGACACCCCCCACCATTCCAGGTTGCTCCAAGCCCCATCCAACCTGCCCTTCAACACTGCCAGGGATGGGGCAGCCACAGCTTCCCTGGGCAGCCTGGGCCAGGCTCTCACCACCCTCACAGCTAAGAACTTTTTCCTAATGTCCAGCCTGAATCTCCCCCCTTTAAGCTACAAAAGTCATCCCAAGTGTTATTTCTAGCAGTGTCACACTGTGTCTTGGGTCAGTTAACGGACTGCCAACAGAACAGGTTTGGTAACACTGCCATGGGCTTTGTGGTGGTCCGGAGAACAGAGAAGAAATCTCACCCAGCATTAACGTTTAGCTTGTTTTCTGCTTCTCAGGTTTGCTGCTGGAGGACTGTCCCCTAGCCTGAACAGCAAGAGAAGAATGAGACAGTGAGAAACAGTGAACTAAGCTGAAGCCTGAAATTAAACAATGACAGATACTCATCAGAAGCCACAATTCAGACATAAACAAGATCTGTGCTTGAAACAGAAAGTTTATGAAAGTGTTTGTCACTTCAGCTGTTCATACACAGTCATTTTTCACCATCACTCACTCTGTTTCAGATGAAGAGGGCTGACCTCTGCACATCCTCCTCCTCTGCATCCTTTTACCCAAGATAGTGACCCCACCCCAACTCACAACATTAAAAAATACATCCTCTGAAGGGGAGTTAAAGACTCCCCAAGTTTTACACCAAAAAGTCTAAGTCTGTTCTGTTGTTACACAAAAGGCTGTTTCATAATAAAGAAAACCCCCATTACTGGAAATGTGAAATACAAAATTTCCAGAGCAGGTATTACCATCTGACTCATCCTGTGGGGGAACAACCTGGTGGGAAAGGTTTCACTCCTACCAAACCCATTTTCGGTATTTCTGGATGACAAAAGACATGCAGATTCTTTTTTTTTTTTTAGTATGGAAACAACTGCCTTCCTTTTCCCACCAGACTCATTCTAGGTTTATGAATATATGGAGGTTTCCATTATTTTTTAAAAAAATAAATTCTGATAAACACAGAATCATAGAATGGCTGGGGTTGGAAGGGACCTTAAAGACAATCCAGATGCAACGTGGGACAGGGATGTGTGGCTGAAGTACCTTCTACTCACTTTCAAAATGCTGTTATTTAAAACTCTCAAGAAACAGAGCAGTGATGGGGCCCCTGAGGCAGCTACAGGCATGTCAAGTGTGACTCTAAGATCAGCTAGCACAGGATGAGGAGCCTGTGGAACGTGCACTGAGCCCCTGCAAACATCACAGATCAACACGTTTTAGCCCCCACTCATTGACAATTTCCTTTGCAACCAGGCAGGTGCTTTTCTCCTAGTACGTCCTTACAAAAATGGACCAAGTTCAACCCACTGATGCAACATTCTCCCTGTAAGGTGACCCCAAAACCCAGCTGCCCACTCCTCATGGTTGCAGTGCAAGGCAACCAGTTCTATCCCTATCACAACGTGTCTTTTACCGTTTTAGGGTCTTTGGGTTTTCCTTTTTCCTTTGGGGCCGGCTTAGTGGTGATGGTTTCCTCTCCACTTTTGTCCTACACTCCAAAGAAAAATACAGAATTACAGTTACAAACAGGACAGGGAATGGATGGCTCCTGCCCTGGCACCTGCTGTGGGATGTTCTCCTCAGTGTGGGCGGCAAGGGGAAGAGACATGCACGGAATTCCTGCCCTCACCCCACAGAAAGCTGGAACCTGCAGCCTTGTTCAACACTGGGGCACCAGGGAGCATTCACAGATCAAAGACCTGGTCTGTGTGGGCAGATGGAGTATTTTCTACACAGCAATGATGTTGCAGCAGCAGACTGAGCTCCCAAGTTCATAACCAAACAAAACAACACTTTGCCTTAAGCTGCCTGAGGACTCAGTGTCCAGGTCAGCACTGGGGGAACCAGCACTGGTCAGAGAGTGTCTAGAAACACAGCCTAATTCCTCCAGGCATTATGTCTGATTTGAACTTCAGTCTCAAGGCTGCTGCTTCTCAGCCCCCAGGAGAGCAATGAGCACAGCATGAAAGCACAGACAATCATCATCAATGTTTTAAGCACAGAGTAACTTATGATTTGCCCCTGGTTAACGGGTGCCTCGTGGTATAAGCCTCAGGAAGCTCATGCAGAATTCCACTTGGGAGCTGGCTCTGCTTCCTCAGCTAGTGTCTGTGCAAGGGATGGTATTTTTGGCTTGGTCAAAGATCAAAGATGGTGCAAATTCAAGCTTTGGTTTTTCTTTCTCCTGGCAGGAAGCAGGCAGGGCTGGCAGGAAACAGCAGCAGGTGGGAGACAAGGCAGCTGCTTCACCCAGCTGAGCCTCAGAACTGCTCTCCACTCCAAAATGTGCCCCACTGCTCTTCCCTGACCTGGGCCTGGGACACAACCTCTCACTCTCAGGGTGACAGAGCAAATGGCTCCTGTGTAAAACAGAAGGAGTGCAGGATTTCTGCACCACATCCCAGCAGGGCCCGTGGGCTCCTCTGCCCAGGGAGCAGCTGCAGGGCCTGCAGGGGCAGGGGGTGTCTCAGGGTTTCTCCCCCTGGGGGACATGGCTGAGAGTGACTCCTCTGGCACAGGGACCCAGTCTCATCCCCCTTCTCCACACTCCTTTCCAGCACCACCACCCCTTCTCACACACCATCCTCATGCTGGTGACCTCCAGGCTGATGCAGCTCCCACTTCCCACTCATCTCACACAGTCACAAACCCACAGCACTGAGCTGGGAAAAGTCTGCCAGGTGTTTGCCAGCTGTGTTTGAAATGATGATGCGAGAAAGAGATGCTCTATTTCTCATCATAAGACCTCTCCAGTCTGCTCCTTCATTCTTCCTGTCAGCTCCACTATTTTCCCCAACTCACCTGAAACTGGTTTTCTACTCCTGGCGTTTCTCTCTGCAAAGCCCTCCTGAGCTGTTTCTCAGTTTCAGCCCACAACCACTGCTAGGTAGGGCATCCCACCACTGCCTGCCTCAACATCTTTTGAACACTCTAGTCTGTACAAAAACTGTTACCACAGTTCTCTGCTCAACTTACTTCTCCAAGCCTGTCCTGCCTCTCCAAAAGACTCTTAAGCATGACAAAACTTCTTCCAAAGATGCAGAACCCAAACTTCCACCAGAGTGGCAAGGCAATCGCTACATTTGCGCAGCATCTTTCATAGATAGAAACCTAGGCTCAGCTATAGCAAAGAAAAAGGAAGGACTTCCACAGAGCAGCCAAAGCCTGTTTATTTTGTGAATCATTAGCTGAAAATGTCCTACCTTTGAGTGCTGTGGTGTGGCAGGAGCCTTTGCACAAGTATCAAAGTCACCAGACAGGGCATCGATAGCTGCAGAGTCATCTGTGGCCTTCTGCAATCATGTTAATTATGAAGTCACACAAAATGCAATACTTCCCACAGTCAAATTGATGCTTCAAGCATTTCTTTTTGCTTTACTTATCCCTTTCTGAAGAAGAAAACCAACCCATACCGGGGCTGTACACATGTTAGAAAGGAGGTGGTTACTGGAAGTTTCCAAGATACACAGTTACTTGGAATACTAGACCTGAACAGTCACAACAGTAGTTGTACAGCAGTAGTTGTGCATAGAAACTGTATTTATTCTGAAGAGTTACACTTCAGGAAGGTTTTACTGTCCACATTGTTACTGTTACCTACTGAATTCAACAGCATTTATGAGAATCTGCAATGAATCAGGCCCTGAGCCTGCAATGACACTGCTTCAAAGAAATCACCAGTGCACACAGCATCAGATTCAACAGAACCAAAATCATGTTACCTTTTTTCCTTTGTGTTTCCCACCATCCTTTCCTGTTGGCTTTGAAGGTTTACCCTGGGGAAGAAGGAAGATTTTGAACAGGATAGATTAGTTTTAATATGCCAGCACTCACACAGGACACTGGGAGCTCTCAGATTGCCACGGACCAAAATCCTGAACAAAATCCTTTATTTCCCACACAATCTATCCCAAGTCAGTTCACAGGGTGTGTTCATTCCCTGTAACTTGCACTACGTCTGACATCCCATCTTTCTATCCTTGTAGCCTACTGGAAAACCAGTTCCTGATCCACAGAAGGTAGTATCACTGTCAGAGCAGTCACCTGCTCCAGTGAATAGAAGTTCAGAGCTTCAGGTGTAACACCAAGGTCATACCTGGATATGCACTTTGCTCCCAAATGTGGGATGAAACCACCTGGAATGAGTATCTGGAATGAACAGGTGTTACCACTCAGAGTCTGCAGGTGTCTCCTGTTTAAAACCAGACTATAAAGCCAAGCTGTTTAAAGACAGACACCTGCTGTTTGCACCCGGTTTTCTAGAGCACCTCACACACTGTGGCTGCCATCTGCCCTGCTGCATCCCCAGGACTCTGCTGCTGGCTGCTCCAGAGTGAACTGTTTGCTCAGATCAAACCAGTTTAGAAAAGCAAAAAAACCCACCAACTTTTTTTTTCTTCTTCTTCTTTTTTTTTTTTTTTTTCTTTTTAATGAAATTCTTACAAGGATAAACAATGTTACTTTGAGCAAAGGATAAGTGATAAGTTTCATCTTAGCACCTAAATATAGGACACACACTTACTCACTTACTCAGCCTCCCTGGTCTCTCCATAACCCACAGAGAACAGAGTGGCTCATATGGACACATTCCTGGTGTTGCAATAAGACAGTAAATAAAAGCTCTGCCTTACCTGCTCACCTGACTCCAGGAGTTTCCGATAGTCAGGTGGGATCGTATCATCTCTTTCTCCAAGTTTGTCTCTGTGCTCAGATTTAGCCTTTTCCTGAAAAGCATTTAATTTCAGAAGAACTTTAATACTTACGGTTGAGGTAATGGCAAACAGTAACTCAGAGTGCTCATTCAACTTAGGATAGATGCCCTTTGTGAGTTTAAAATTTTAAAACTACCAGGAAAAAAACCCACATGTATTAAGCTCACTATGAAGTGTGCCATAACTGAGAGTTTTAGGATTCTCAGCAGCACCTCAACATAAAAAACTGTGAAGTTTCAGCTCTGCCTTCCAACAGGATGACTGAAAGGAGTCATTCCACACTTCTGCATCAGGTGTCCCCTGTGCACTGCAGCTTGAACACAAAACAGATGTTCCTGCAATGTCTTACCCATGGATGCACCTGCAGCAGAACCCAGGGCAGACACCCACCTCACACCCAGCTGACCAGGAGTGGCCTCACTTCTCACCAGGCTCAGGAGACAGGGTCAGTTTCACACCCAACACAACTGGAGGGCAGAGCTCTCTCACCAGCTCCTGGGAACTGCACGAAGGAAGGAAGCTCCCCTTCCTCTGCATTTACTGTCCCACTTGTGCTGCTCTGATTTCTGGCAAACGCACCAGGAACACCCAAAGAAAACTTCTGGCTCACATACAAGTAGGTTTTTAAGTTTGTTGTTGAGGAGCATTTTTGTATTTGTTCCTACAGACATTTTAAGGAACTCTTTATTTTGTTTTGTTTTCAGTCCAGTACAAGCCTTTTCCATGCCTCTGTGAAGAAGACATGAAACACACTGGGCTCCCACAGCACCACTGAGGCACCTGAGATCTTGCACATCAAGGGTTCCCTCTCTTCCCAGACTGTACAAACCTGTTCTGAAATCCCCTCACAGATTCCAGCCTCAATTTATTCATGGGCAGCTTATGGCAGACTTTTTCCCCAATAATATCCTTCATCTTAAGTATTTCACTTTACAGTCTGTTACTACTATTATGCAGAAATGCTTCTGATTTTCTTATTAGCATAATCTTTCCACAAACATATGAATACAGACTGAATGAGGACAGAAGGAGCAAGTTAAAAAATGGGATGGATTAAAAGAATGTGTTTGCTGATGAACTTGGTGTTTGTGGGCTTAGAGAAGTCAAAGTTTGACAAAAAGAAGGGCACAAGAGTTAATTTCAGAAACAGAGGCCAGAGAAGACACCTGAAAAATCACTAGAATAGTGACAATAAAAGGCACTGAAACAGAAGTACTGCACATTTCCTACAACATTTCAATACTTACATCCAAGTGGCTGAAATAAATTAATGAATTCAACATTTTTTATAAAAAACACAAGTAATCCAGCTGACTGCATTCTTAGAAGCAAAAAAGCATTAAAGTCAATGGGTTTCTTTCCTAGTAACTTTACTCCTGAATCTGAAAGTCACATGCCATATACTCCTACAAGTATATAAGAAATATTACCTCATGCCACTGAAAAACATAAATTCTAGGAAAGATGGCAAGTATCCCCATTTTTGGAGTTGTTGTTGGGATTTCCACCCCCACACTGCACAAATTTCAGACTGTATTTTATTACCTTTACTTTATCCACAACAGGTTTGTTCTCATCAGGGTCAGGCTCCCTTTGTCCCAGGGAATCAGACAGGAGATCCAAGGCTTCATCCATCTCTTTTCCTCCCTAACAAAGTGTAAACACATTCGTGAACACAAATCACCTGTAAAAATAATGCAACTCATCAAGCTAATGTATGTACTGACTAATGAACTCTCAGCTTCAGTGAACAATGAACAATCACCCCTCCCTTTGTAATTACATTGCAGTGGAACAGCTCAGGAAAAAATTACTGAGTATTTAGACCTGCAGAAAACATAATTTCAAGAAGGGGGTGTGGAATGGTTGAATGTGGTGTTCTAAGCCTAACTGATGTAATGAGAACAGTTTACAAGCAGATTGCTTTTTGTTAATTGCCATTCATTTTGCAAAGATCGCTGCAGATTAGCTGCTAAACTGAATTAAAAGTTAGCAACATTTTATCTTCACAACATGTATGGCCTTCTGCAATTTCACACCAGTTTTATTCACACACTGGCTAGGAAAAGCGCCCTTAAAGCACAACTAAAACCCGAGTGGGAGGAGCTTTGCGTTCCTCTTTCCAAGAGGCTGGAGGCACTAGAGGGAGCTCCCAGGACACGGATCCAAGTGGTGAGGGGAAGATCTAAGTTCTCCTGCAATGGAAAGGAGGTCATGGCACTGCTTGATCTCTCATTAAACTCCTCCGTTTATGGGCTTAACAGGTGACTTTGCCGCTGTGCTAATAACTACACTATTAGTTAGTAACTGGGAGATGAAATCTGTGGTTCACCTAAAGGCCCAAGTCTAAACATGAAATCATGTGCACCCAGGTAACTCCCGCACTGACCTACAGAAAGGAGAAGGGACAGGATCACAGAATCGCTGGAGTTGGAAGGAAGCTCTAGAGATCATCTGGTCCAGCTCTCCCACTGCAGCAGGACCCCCTGGAGCACATTCCCCAGGGCTGCATCCAGGGCTTTGAATGTCTCCAGAGAAGGAGACTCCACAGCCCCCTGGGCAGCCTGTCCCAGGGCTCTGTCACCCTCACCATAAAGAAGTTTTCCCTCCTATTTCCATGTCACTCCCCATGTTCCAGCCTGTGCCCGTGGCCCCTCGTCCTGTCCCTGGGCACTGCTGAGCAGAGTCTGGCTCCATCCTCCTGCACCCACCCTGAGATACTTGCAGGCACTCATCAGGTCTGTCCTCAGCTTCTCCTCTCCAGGCTGAGCAGCCCCAGCTCTCCCAGCCTTTCCTCATCAGGGAGATGCTCCAATCCCTGGATGCTGTTCTCCAGCTGTGGCCTCACCAGTGCAGAGCAGAGGGGCAGGATGATCTCACTCAACCTACTGGCCACTCTTCCTTATGCACCCCAGGATTCCATTGGCCTTCGTGGCAGCCAGTGCACTTTGCTGGCTCTTGGATCATTTGCTGTCTATCAGGACTCCAAGATCTTTCTCCTCTGTACTGCTATCCAGCAGATCCACCCCTAACCTATACTGGTGCTTGGGATTCTTTCTTCCCAGGTGCAGGACCCTACAGTTACTCTTACTGAACCCGATGAGGTTCTTCTCTGCAACAATCACCCAGTCCACCTGCCTGACCATGTCAAGGCTGACCAAAAGTCACTGCATGTTATTAAGGGCACTGAGCAAATGTCTCTTGAACACCAACAGGCCGGGGGCATCAACCACCCCTCCAGGGAGCCTGTCCCAGGGTTTGACCACCCTGTCCATAAAGAAATGTGGATCCTAGGTAAGGACACAGATGAGGTGCTTACCGGGGCAGGAGCTGCAGGAGGGGCTGAGTGCACTGAAGAGACTGTAGCAGCAGAGATAAGGTCCGAGGAAACCGTGGGCTTTTTACCCTCCTTGGTTTTCTGAAACAAGACACAGCATCACTACTAACATAGAGCAAAGGGAGAAAAATGTGCATCAAATTCCAAGCATCTGGAATGCAATGCCCATGTAAACTATTCCCAGGGCTTTATTTTCCTCAGCAGTTCTGTTTCGGGCAGGCTGCAACTCTTCTGCACCTCAGCCTGCCCAGGTTCAAGCCAAATCCTGGCACAGCTCAGTCAGAGGGAGGTTTCATGTGACTTCAGATTTCACCAAGTCCATCTGTGCTCTTAACCAACACTTTTAAAAGTCCTGACTGCAGAGCACTCCTTATGGAAGCAACTGGTAAAAAGGTATGAAAATTAACTGACCCAGCTTTTTCTAATTATTAAAGTCCTACTTTTTCTTCCAACAATGTCTTGGAAAAAATATTTTAAATTTTTATTTCCTGAATTCTGTTTAAGAAAGTTTACAAAAGCTTCAAAGGAAACAAAATATCAAGCCTATTGAAACCATCTGAAAATAAATGTGGTTTTCAGAAATCCAATGCACTCACCTTTATTGCAGTTGGTTTAGGTAATGGTGCAGATAGGGATGGAGAAGAGGAAAATCCTTCTGTCAAACCCTCTATAAGATCATTTTCACTCATAGGCTATCATTAAAATGAAAAAAAAGAGATGCTTTTAAGCCTTTTAAGCTATTAAAAAGTGAGCAGGTAACACAGCCTAGCTCCATTTTTAAATTGAAGACTGGGAACCTCTACTGACATTTCATGAATGAAACATTTATCTTAATTTTAACTTTTTTACCTGGGACTTTTCTTCAGGTTTTGGCAAGAGTGGTTTTCCATCTTTATCCTACAAACAAAAACAAACCCCATTCTATTAAGCCAAGCAGTCCTTGAATGACCATGCAATGCAAGCACCTTGAGAGCATTCCCTGATCAACCAAGAAAACGAACTGGTAACTTCTGGCATCTACTGCTTTCACTCAAGTGTCCTTCAAAAAATCCAGGCCCTGCAACTTAGAACAATCTGAGCACTGAAAGTGACTAAAGCGCGTGGGATTCTGAACGCCCCCACTTTGTGATTCAGTTTCTATAGAAATAGCACAATTAATACATAATGCCTCTCCTCCCAGACTGTTACCAGTTCTCCTGGATGCACAGCCCAGAAAGGACATGTATTTTTTTCAGGCTGAGCTGTTGGGCAGGACTTGGCTGAACCTAGGCAACCTGTTTATGTCAAATGGGTCGTGTGGTGATGGTTGTAAAATTAGTACAGGGAAATGCTGAGTTTTTTAACAGCTTTGACCAACCACAAATGATGACTACAGTGCACTAATTTCAGCCCAAACTATTCATGTTTAGGTACTGGCATCTAAACCACTTCTGTGCCTACGCAGACATCTAATGATGGATGTAGTTCAGGAACTATACACTGGAAATTTTATATGCTATAAAAATGGCTGAACTAAATACCAGCACTTCAAAACAAACTGGGGTGGCAGATTCATCCCTATGTGGTGAGGAATGAAAAGGAAAATAAGACCTAACCAGCACATTAACTAAATTACTTTTGCTTCTGTTAATCTGTACTCTGGAGGAATAGTTTCTTCATCTTCACCCAGTTTTTTGCATTCTTCCTGTTTGGTTTTCTCCTACAACGGCAAAATAAAATATTATTAATAAAACCAAGGAACTACATCCCACCAGACATGCATATGTGCAGGTTTTCAAAGTCTTCAGCCTACTAATCTAAGTTAGTCTTCCAATCCAGATAAAAATCTTGGGCAGAATAAAATAAACCCTTTTCCCTTGAGAAAGGTTCCATTTCTCTGCCTGTTTCTCCCTCTGTGCATTAGAAGCAGCTCTACCTGTTTCATTGACAACCAACACAGTTCAGGAAACAGACAAGCATGGACCAGCAACAAAACAGCATTACACCCGAGTCTTCATTACTGACTTTTCTGGGAGATCCACTCCACAGGTGCCAGGGCTGGATGGGAAGGAAGGCTGAACACAGGAATCAGCAGCCAACTCCAAAAAGGATTAGCCAAAAAGGAACCACAGAATTGTGTTGGCCAGGTGGAAACTAAGAAAAGGCAGTAGGAGCAACCTGGGGAACACCTCTTTCATAGAGTTCCAGCCCATCAGAAAAGCTGCCCTCTCTTTGTGGGTCAAGCCAATACCATCTGGCCCATGGTTTGGGGTGGCAAAGGGGGATGTTCAGACTCGACTACTGGCATCTCCCCCTTAGAACACACATATTTCAGTGACTTCCTTAATGCTCCCTGGTAAAATAGCAAGATCAGAGAAAAAAAGCCCAAGGTTTTACATATAATTCCCAATTTAAACCATTCATGGCAAAGTTGGCTCCTTTTGACAGAGGACCACACTGGGATCTGCATGTTCACTCTGCTTTGGTTCAAAAAGAGGCTCTAGGCAAACGGAGTGTTCATAAACTGAGGGAACTACTGTAAGAGGCACAGTTACTAAGCCAATGCATCCACACTGAAATCCTACCAGTACTTCCTAAGCAGAACACAACTGGTCTCACAAGTAAATCTGTTTGGTTTGCTTTTTTAAAAAAAAGAATGTATCATCTCTGATTTGTTTCTAGCCTGAGGAAATCCAGAAACAGTGAAGATAATTACATTGAAAGTCTGTTTTTGAGGTCTGGTTGTTTCTCTACCTTAACTTTGTCCACAGCAGGTTTATTTTCATCTGGATCAGGCTCCCTCTGTCCCAGGCTACTGGACAGGGCTTCTAGGGCTTCATCTGCCACATGACCAACCTGGAAGGGCATCCATACAGCAAAAAACTGTTAGTTTGGAGTTGAGCTGCAGCTGAAGAAACCTGTCCATGTGCTACCACTGCCAGCCACTCACTGCTTAAGGTCAAAATGGAGAGGTGAACTGAAAAGCTGTTGTGCTTCTCTCCCTCACTGTCTCCATGTAGTTGCAATCTGCTGGGTTGAAAGCCTAAGGAAAATCTGACAGGGGTTGCTCTGTAAACAGGGTTCTGCTTCCAAAGACTGACTCACAGCTAAAATGTGCCACATACGGGGGGGAGGGGAATGTTGTTTGCTTGGTTCTTTAATAGAACCATTCTGAGAAGGGATGCAAGAATGTCAGCTATTAATACAATCTTCTAAAGCTGTCAGCAGGACAATTTATTTATTTATTTATTTATTTTGGTAGAATGTGTCTTTTCCTGCAGCAATATATTAAGTTCATGAAGAGCATCCCTTCTGGAGCATTCAGAGCTAGAGCAAGAACTGTCAGTCTGAGGAAGAGGAGGCTGAGGGGAGACCTCATCAGTCTCTACATCTACCTGAAAGGTCACTGTAGAGAGGTTGGTGCTGGTCTCTTCTCACAGGTAATTAGTGACAGAACAAGAGGGAAGGGCTTCAAGCTGCACGAGGGGAGGTTTAGACTGGACGTGAGTAAGGATTTTTTCACAGAAAGAGTGCCTGGACACTGGAACAGGCTGCCCAGGGAGGTGGTGGAGTCACCACCCCTGGAAGTGCTGAAGGGTTGTTCAGTGGATATGGTTTAGGGGAGAACTTTGTAGAGCAGGGATGATGGCACATGCTGGCACCCCGAGTTCTGCCCTGTCCCAGCTCACACTACTCACTGGAGACACAGCTGGGGGAGCTGAGGACTGCACGGTGCAGGCTGAGGCACGGGGCACAGCTTCACCCTCAGTAGGTTTTGCAGACACAGGAGCTGAAGGCTTCTGGAACAGAACAATTACACTGCATTTTACTGGCTATGCTTAGAAACCCAACATGCACCTGGTTAAGTGGCTTTTTTTTGATATGGTACAAAACAGGAAAGAAAACCGTAACAGAATAAAATGTCTTTCTTCACATAATACCAGCAGAAGTACCAGTGCCCTTTCAGTGAAGTGGGAGGACATACTTTGGACGTGCTGCTGGGCTTTGATGGTCTGGGTTGCACTGCAGGCTGTGCTGGGCCAGCGAAGTCTTTGGAAAACTCATCAACAAGATCAGATTCACTCAAAGGCTGCAAAAAAAGACATACGTTGTACAGGTGACTCATTGCCTGGTTCTAATTTATTTTTTCAATAATTCTATTTCAGCTACTCAGAAAGCAGGAAAACTTCTGTAGCCTACACCACAACAACCTTTCACATTTAAACCAGCATGAATTTCATAGTGCAACAGATTAGGAAAACCACTTCTCGGAATGAGTCAGTTGCTTTGTTATCTAAAAGCCAATATAATGCAGAGAACATTATGTTTAATATTTTTTAGAGGGCTACTGAAAAGGAAAATGCAAGCTCATAATTAGAAAAAAAAAGAATGCTAGTATTTTGTGGAGGCCCAAACTAATAGAAGCCCTGGTTAGTCACGTAGGAAGAAATTTGCATTTATCAGGAGCCAAGGAAGAACTGCAAGTGATTGAATGCTTTTCAGATACTGACGTAAGTTTTTTGCTTTGCTGGTTTGGGTGTCACAGATCTAAATTACTGGTGATACCACAGGGTTATGGGCCAACACATCTAGCTCAAAATCGCCTCCTTCACATGATAAACACTGAAATAGTGCTGAGAAAAACGCTGCAACACATGACTTTGAGAGCCTTGGACTCAGAACAACTATTCAATTACATTTGTGTCTCTGACAGAACTGGAATACTGATTCTTCTATTAAACACTTAATTCTTTGGGCACAGGACCTCCGATTCTGGGCTAATCTGCTTTGGTTTTCTAGTGGACTTTATGCCAGCTATGAACCAACCTCCTGTAACTCATGCCACATTCCTCTTCTGGAGCTTGTCTTTTTTTTTGGTGTGCCAGCTCCTTCCTGCTCCCTGCCAAACACAGGAGGGCTTGTCTCTCAACAGTTTCTCCCAACACATCACCCACACAAGACAGCTGCATGTCTGAAGACCTGTCACACAAATTTTCATTGATATGAAGTCCTGTCACCACCACCTTGGTGTTCCTCCACATTTCAAGCCTGACTAATACAGTGAGTTCACATTTCTGCTGAAAAGGCACAGTGACACTCTTCCTCAGATTGTTCCTGACCTTCACACTTCTTTCAGAAGAATGGGGGTTTCCTGTATTTTCCAATTTTGGCATCACTCCTTAGCTCACAGTATTTTCAAAGAGAAGCCCTCTGTTTCTTCAGTGCATAGTTCCTTTGCTTTTCATTATTTTTGCTTTCTCCCTTGGCATTTTAAATTACCTTTTGAAATCTTGTCTTTCAAGGTTGCATCTTTTCATTCTATTCTGCATTTTCTAGGCCATGAGGGATACTTTTTGCAAAGCCCAGATTCTTTGTGATTCAGAAAACGTCAACAGCAGCTTTTTCCTTCTTCCTAGACACATTCCCTTTATATTTGATGACTAATTAGAGGAAACTGCAAAAAAGATTTTCTGCTTCACCTCTCTGTCCTTCAACAAACTTCTACAGAACACCTGACACTGACTCCATTCAGCTCTTCTTGGTGTCAGCAGTCATTTCTGTAACTCTGTCCTATCTTCATGATCTCTGAACGTTTTTCTTCCTGTCAGCTCTTCATCCACAACCAGTGGATTTCAATAAAACCAACTTTCACTTGACAGTTCAGATCAGTAGGTTTTGTGCAAGGAAATGAAGTGCAAGGAGACCAACAGATTTATATAGTGACACAGAGAGGAGTGATGACAGAGAGGGAGAAAACAAGGAATCTATTCACACTCCTACAATACTGTCAGTTTTCTAACCTTAGGCTTTTCTTCAGGCTTGGGCAATATTGGTTTTCCATCTTTATCCTAAAAGGAAAGTAAGTATTATTGACATTTTTCCATTGGTATAAGAAGTGCTATACTCATTATCACCAGAAAACAATATAAAATCAAAGTGAAATCAGAGACACAGGAATAGGAATTCCCCTCAAGAGGGGGAATTCTTAAAATGGTCAAAAAAGTGGATAAAAACAGAAAATGTGAGGTCAGCACAAGACAAGTGGGCCCAGAGATCAAAAGGTGCTCATTCTTATTGGTATCAACATGCAGCAGAAATTAATTCCACAGTAAACCAGCAGGTATTCACCCAGGAGTAAAATAAGCTTTGGGTGCCAAAACTAAACTTCTGCACTTGAACACACAGTGTGTTAAACCCCAGGTCTGTAGTAAGGCAGTCCTGAACTCTCTAAAAAGAGGGGCAGAACTGCTGCTTTCAGAGCAGAACCAGCAAGGCCAGTCTGTACAACAGCCCTGCTAACACCAGTTATGCTAGTAACTGTGACAGAAACCTTCAGTTCTGAACTTTATGGAAAAGACATGTCAGTTCTGCTGTTGTTTTGCTTAACCTTGACCAAATCTCCATCACGTGGTGACCATCTCAAAAAATCACAGAATAATAGAATCATGAAGGTTGGAAAAGACCTTCAAGATCATCAAGTCCAACCATCCACCTTACAACCACCAACCACTAAACCACGTCCCAAAACACCTGCAATGAGTGGAATTTTCATACCATTTTACAATGGTGTTTCAAGCTGACATCCCAAAGTGATACCCAAGAGCACTTCTGTAAAGGGACGGACTTTACAAGACTGAGACTTAATGCTAGGAACAAGTGACATCTCTCCTGTGAAGGAATGTGTGACCTGGGAGCGTCAGATCTTTGCCAAAAAGCCAGTCATGCCCACAAAGGAAGGGAAGGAAGCCAGAGGCACAGGAATCAGGAGAAATAAAGTACTATTTTTGCTTATTTTCCTCATGTTCTTCCCTCTCTGTGACAAGGGAAAGTGTCAGACCTCGTGTCCCACTTACAAAGCAACAGAGAAAGGCAGAACTCACCAGCTCTGGTGTTAACCTGTATTCTGGAGGTATCGTATCATCACGTTCTCCAAGCTTTTCTTCCTTCTTCTCTTTAGCTTTTGCCTTACAAAGAAATAAATAAAAAACAAAAACCAACCACTTAATGAAATTAAGATAAAAACTCAAAGCACACTCAACTGCACTATCAAGATTCTTCAGCCTGCTGCCTGCCAGAAGTACTAGCATCAGACAAAATTATTCCATATATCAAGATATTAAAATTCCTCAATTTATTCCTATAAAACTTCTGTGGTAAAATTGTCACAGCTTCAGAGTAATGTACTAATAATATGTAAATATGGCTGTATTAATTTAAATCCTAAAAAAGCTTCAGACACTGTTCAGAGCTGTAACTTTGTGGCAGGTACTTTTGGAATTTTTGGGGTGCACGATATCCTCAGGATTCCTTGGATTTCCTCACTGTGATTACACAGGCTGTGATTCTGTATCTTTTCCATCACTCCTCCTTTCAATTCACTGGATGATCTTTGTGAGGCAACACATCCAGCAAGTTATCTTAAAGCCCTGACTGACTGGGCTTCACAATATGAAACATGCTATTTTTTGTCAAAATTGAGCTCCAACATCTTACTTTGGTAATAAATTGCTTTCTGCTACTGCCCTGCCATTTTTTTGGCCCAAGCTGTAAGTGAAGACAGGGGAAAATAACTCATACTAGTGAGCTGATAGGCAGAGTTTGCAAAACTAAAATGAAAAGTCAAAGTTTAACATGTAAACAAACACAGGCCACTGAACTGCTGAAGAAAAGCAACAGTCTTAGAAGACACAGTGAAAGTCAAGACTAAAATTAGGACAAAGGGGTGTTAAAGAAGAAGGAATACATGCACTAAAACCCCCAAAGTTAATTCAAAATCAAACAGCAAATAAGTGCAAAAGAAAAGCTTCTAAGGTGCACCTAAGGCTTGGGGGGAAAAAAACAGAGCAACTGGTTTTGAGAGCTGAGCTGAGAGGGAAAGGTGTGGGTATGTATATATGTAATTATTCTTCTGTAGCCAAATTAATTACATATCATTTTCCAGACCATTTCAACTGTCTCTTCTACCTGTATTCACTTGAGATGTCTTAATTTCTTAATCACATAAGAATAAGACATTCCTTAGGCTTTTAGTATTGATGATTTACACTGATATTTATATGTACTGATTTTTTAAGAAATCTGCTCTGACTCTTCAAGCAATGCTTTTGAAAAAGAACTTGTCACCACAGAATTCCCAGTCTTCACATGTTGGGTTTTTTCCTATTTTGTCCTTGGTTTTCCATTTATTACTAAGGATTCCAAATGATTCCAAAGTTTTATCTCTGTGAAGGATAAGAAGTATAGTCTTTCTGTCAGACTTTTGTACTTGCTGGGGATAAAGATTTCTAAAATCCTCTGACCTTCTGCCTTTTAATCTGCTTTTGGAAATTTATACACTGTTCCTGGGTTGCTTACTATCAATAAATCACCTGAAAAGGTCTCCTTGCTTAACAGATCTGTTCTGAAATTTTATTGTTTCATCAACTAGAGAAATGTCTTGAAGACCGTGCAATTTTCCAAAGATCAACAAGGCTTATAAACTGTGATTAATTGAGAGAGAGATTATATTCTGCTGGATCTTAAGCAAATCTGAAGATCAAAGTTTTATATCCTTATCTGTATTTTCAGCTTGTGTTACTATTGTTAAAGAGCTGCAAGTTTCCTGTGGTGTGTGAACAGATCCAGACAAAACACAAGGATGTAGTGCTTTATAGTGGACATATTTCATGTTTTCTCTCTTAACAAAACCAGGAGTATTGGTCAAGGCAAGCTGAAGGTCGGGCTTGAAACTGGGAGAGTAGATTCAGATGAGATGTGAGGGAGAAATTCTGTGCTGTGAGGGTGGGGAGAGCCTGGCCCAGGTTGCCCAGGGAAGCTGTGGCTGCCCCATCCCTGGCAGTGTTGAAGGGCATGTTGGATGGGGCTTGGAGCACCTGGAATGGTGGGAGGTGTCCCTGCCATGCAGGGGTGGGACTGGATGAGTATTAAGGTCCCTTCCAACCCACACCAGTCTGTGATGAATTCTATGATTCCATGATATGGAAGTTTCTTTGTTACTATTTTTACACATTTGTACAGGATCTAACAGAGAGGACTCAGGTTTCCACAGGAGAGTGAAAGCTGCTGTAACAAGGAGCAAGATCATACCTCTGACCCCTCTACAACAGGGCTAAGATCTTTTTCAGGTTCAGGTTCAGGCTCAGGTCCTCCAAGAGTATCAAGAAGAGCTTCCATGGCATCATCTTTAACTTCCTGTATTTATGAAAATATGCAAATCATGTCATTATGTCTTTAAACTGACACAGGTGTTACTTTATGTATCTTTTATACTGCATATCAAGCAAACAGCCAGCACCAGCCTGCTCATTTTATCTGATTTCCTTCACATCACATTGCAGGAGATGGCAAATTTCATCAGAGATTAGGATGGTCTAATATGGCATTCCCACTCTTAAGGAGAGGGGAAATGAAAAAGGAAATAGGAGAAAAAAGAAGCACAGTATCATATAACACAATTGCCATGTGCTTTGAAATGGCAAACCAGAAAATGTGAGGTCACATTAGCTATCTACAGAGGATATAATAAAGGTTTGTAAACCATGAGAAAATTACATTCTATGTGTTAAGCACACCTCAGATATGTTTTTCTATTCTTTTGCCTCTAGCCAGAAGAACTACAGTTACTCTAAAGAAGAATCCAGAAGGAAAAAAATCACCTGAGCATCAAGGCCAGATCTTTAAGGAAAAATTAACAGTCATTAATGGCAATTCCTGTTACTCCTACACATTCCATGATAAACAGCTTCAAGTGAGGGTGATGAGCATCTTTACAGAATCAGGCACAGAAGAAATACAACACATGCTTGTAAATCTTAGAAGTTAACTAGTCAAATAAAGTCTCTGTATACCTCTTCAGATTTTGTTTTTTTCTCCTTAGGAGGAACTGAAGCCTTGACTGAACTTGCTGCTTTTGCTTGCACAATTTCTCCTTCCTTGCTTGGTTTCTTTTACAAAAGGGCAAAACAAGAGTTATGAAATCACAGCTGAATTTGCAAAAACAAAAGCAAAACCAAAACAACAACAAAAAACAGAAAGGAAGATTGTCAAAGATAATTTTGAAGTGAAACATAAAAATAATAAAGGCAATATTTAATTGCAATAAAGGCATGGCAAGAAAAATATCAAAACCTCGCTCAAAAAAAAGCAGGAGCAGTACAAGAGGTGAAGCCAGATGACAGGGCCTCAGCAAGCTCATCATCTGTCATTGGTTTCTGGGCAAGAAATGGCAAACCAGGTCATGTTTGTCACAGCTCAAGTCCCTGTGCTGTCAACCTCTGTTTAAAATCTGAGTGTGATCCACACTTACTCACACAGTGACCTCATAAGCACATGCTGCTGTCACAGAAAAAACAGAGAGATTTTCTCTTGCTGCTTAATTAATTTTAGATCTGCCTTCTTTCTTTTTTTTTTTTTTTTTGTATGTTAAACTTATAAACAGTAAAATAAAGCTGGCTTAAAGGATTCTCTGGCTAAGTGTAGAATTTCAAGCGATCTTTGCTAAAGACACAATGAAGACACTCCATGCACAGCTGCTGTTCCTTCCCTTTGTTAACATCACACCCAGCATCGCTGTGAGCATTTGACTTCTGTCAGTGTCCTGAAAATTCCTTCTTCTTTATCTAAAACATCTGTGCTAAACTCTATTTAGTTTTATCTGTGTTACCTGGCAACCCACAGCCCTCTGCCTGGGATTCTTGGAAGACAGGAAATATTTAAACTTCCCTAGGAATCCAGTGGTAATTGGCTTATTTTCACCTGTCAATATATATTAAAAAAGTAAGTCTTACTTCATCTTGTTCATCTGCTTTTGGTGGCTCTCCATCTTTGCCATGCCCTTTGCTCTAAAATGAGAATTAATTTTGTCGTAAATGGGATGCAAAAGCATACAATATGAAAGAAAACATGCATCAAGAACACTTTAACTCACTAACCTTCAACAATTTAACATACTCTGGAGGGAGGCTGCCTTCCCGTTTACCCAGTTCTTCCAAGTACCTTGAATCTATATCTTCCTGTGAAAAGAATGCACACATTAATGTTTTTGTACTCTTCTTTATTGAAATAGATTTCCAATGTACAGTTGTAGTTCTGGAAGGGAAATAGGAGGGCTGGCTGGGCCAGAGGCCAGTCCTGGGCTGTGCCTGGAGAGTGTCCTTCAGAGCTCAGGGTCATGCAGGTGCATCTTGACCAGCTCCAACTCATCTAGCAAAGCTCTGCTCCCCCATGGCCAGGCTCCTGCTGCAGTCACACCACTCATCCCAGTGCCTCAGGCCAGAGAACCTACTGCTGTGCCCAGACTGGCTTTTAAATATTGGCCAATTCAAACACTGTTATCATGTCTCAGCACTGCACTAAGTCATTGAGCTTCTAATCTCAGCCCTTCCTATGTTACTCTCCCATTTGAACTCAGAAAAATAATGCATTCTTCCCCAAATCTCCATGTTTGACACTTTCTCAAGCAAGGTTGCTTACACTTTCTTACACTGCCATCACTGTCTTTTGTAATTCCTATGGAGACCATGCTTGGAAGATAGTTCAAAAGGCAACAAATTTCCTTCGTTGGCTCTTCACTGTGACCTGCTGCACTCCCTGCACTTCTGTGCTACTGAAAACAACACTAAAATGCAACTGTGCAGGCTCCATTTTCACTCTTAGCAGATGAAAGTAACAAATACTGACTCAATGTAGTGATGAGCAACTACAGGTGCATTTTACAGATGGATCTGGTAAAAAACAAAAATAAAACATGTACAACACCTTAACTTCTGGGCCAGTGTAAACAGGACTAGTAGGCACATCATCTTCAGGTCCACCCAGGGTATCTATGAGGCTATCTAGGGCTGACTCATCCATGGCAGGCTGAAAAACAAGCAGTTCATTATGGAAGTTACCATACTGCACAAAGAAACAAACAAACAAACAAAAGTGAATCATCTGGTGAACCTGTAGAAAACACCTGGAAACGAAACCAAAAAGCATTCTTTCAGTAGGTCCTGCACTGGCCAAATTTTTTAGTGAGAACCTTTCTTAAACTGGTTCCCCAGTGTCAGTAACAAGAGGGTCTGTATTTACACACCAGCTGATACACATGCATGTGTAGGCAAACATAAATAAATAGCAACTGATGTTGCGATGTTTTGGTAAAAGTGACTCTAAGTAAGTCCTCCTTGACAAAACACAAACCACAGGGCAGCATTTATTGCCTCTTCTTTCAGACAGTCCCTCTCCACCACATATAATTACTACACAGTAGAACTTCAGCAGCTAGCAATTGATTTTTTTTGAAACTGAAGCATTTCAGAGAGAGAGACAGTCTGGGAGACATTTTTAAAAGGGAAGCATTTGCCTGGAACTGTGTTTACCAACCTCAGGACTGGACTTATCAGCTGCAGTAACAACACTTGGCCCAGTTGCACCTGCACTTGCTGTTCCAGCCACTGTGGACACCTTCTCAGACTTGGGCTGGAGAAAGAACAGCAAAATGAAGAGATGATTTCACTATATGGCCCTGTGTTAAAAATCTCAGAGACAAAACACAGTAAAAATAAGATGTTCTACTTAGGCATGAATAACTATTGTCCCTCTTCACCTAATTTAAGAAAGGTGATCTGGTTCTGCCTGCTAGCTGAGTGGTCTGGAAGCTGAGTAGCAGCAGCTCATGTGACACTGAGCCCAGCCTAAAAGATGCAGCTCTGAGGCCACATGTGTTTTTTTTGGACTCAGCAACTGGCTGATGCCCCTGCACAGTGTCCAGATGCTGGGGCAGAGTGAGCTGCCACCTGCTGCAGTGCTAGGGAGACACTCTGCTTCCAGTGTGATTTTGCTGCAGGAAAGAAACAAGGGTCCTTCATTCTCCTCTGGCCTTGCCACCCAGTCACATATAGACTAAAAGATCTGGATCCTGACTCCACTACATGCTTTTTCTCCAGCTTTTTGTCCACGTGCCCCTTTGAAATGGCCCCTCTCCAACTTTATCCCCAGTCTTTCCCATCCTGTTTTGTTCCCTTCAGCCCGGCAGTCGGGGTGCAGAGGCTGCCCCACTGCAAACCTGCTGTCTGGATGTGGAGCCAAAGCTGCAGCTGCACACAGCAGCTCTGGGTGGCAGTGCTGGTATCAACACAGCCCCCTCCTGACTGACCTGACGGCTGCTTCTGTGCCCCTTCAGCTGGAAAGGGCCAGGGAAGAGCCTGACAAAGGACCAGTGACCCCCACAAAGCTTGCAAGGATAACAGAGGAAGCCCCAAACACACAGCACACAGGAACAGGCCTTCAGTGGTGATAATCTCAAGGCTGCTTGCTTGGCTAACAGCCAGGGTGTGTTGGACAATAAAAACATGTATGGAGGGGACAGCAGAAGGTGGGTACACATCAGGGTCCCCAAACAACCAGAACAAACCACCACTTGGCTGGGCAGCTGTTTCTGCAGCTGATGCTTATGCATTAATGCTGTCATGGATTAGCTGGAAGTGGCATTGTCAGGACATTAAGTTATTCCATGGGGAAATTGTTAAGTTTTTAGGTCCCAGAATTTTGAGCATTTCTCTATTGTGATTTTTGTGGGCCCAGTCTCCATTTACAATATTCAGCATAAGAATTCACATGGATTTCCATCCCCTATGATAACATAAGTAATAAAAATTGAATTGCTGCTTCTACTGTACCTTTGCTGTCTCTTTGGGGGTTCCTTGTGGAGGCTGGTCAGCTTGACTTGTAGCTACTTTTCCTGTATTATTTGGTTTAGAAGCTGTTGTCACAGAAGGCAAGGTCTGGCTTTTTGCCTGTGTAAAGATAAACTATTATCATTAGATACAGACACGTATGGGCTGGCTTTGTTTGCTTTGGTGGTTTTTTTTTGTGGGGTTGTTGGTTTTTTTTTTAAATGAAAGAAGAAAATGACAAGAAGCACTCATTAAAAAAAAAAGAAAGAAGGAGATAAAAATGATACAACTTACATCACAGGGTTCCTTTTGCCTCTCTTCAGACAGCTGTTCATTTTGAGAGTCTGTTGGCTGTCACAAAATTAAAAATGAAGATAATTTACCCTTCCCACCATTTAGTGCTATGGAACATGAGCACAGAATCACAGAATGGTTACTCTTGAAAAAGACCTCTAAGATCACTGAGCCCAACTGTCCACCCAGGAGGAAAAAACAAAACAAAACAACCACCACACCAAACAAACAATAACATAAAAACATTCCCCATGCCCACTAGAGCACATCTACATGTTTCTTGAATCCCTCCAGGGATGGTGACACCACCACCTCCCTGGGCAGCTGCTGCAGTCCCTGATCTCTCTTTCAATACAGAAATTCTTCCTAATATCCAGTCTAAACCTCCCCTGGAACAACTTCAGGCCATCTCCTCTGGTCGTGGTTATTTACTTGGGAAAAGAGGCCAACACCCACCTCCCTTTCAGGGAGTTCTAAAGGACAATGAGGTCTCCCCTCAGCCTCCTCTTCTCCAAACTAAACACCCAGCTCCCTCAGCCTCTCCTCAAAGGACTTGTTCTCCAGCCCCTTCCCCAGCTCCGGGGCCCTTCCCTGGACACGCTCCAGCCCCTCTATGTCCTTCTTGTCCTGAGGGGCCCAGACCTGACCCCAGGACTCCAGGTGCCCCCTCCCCAGTGCCCAGCACAGGGGGACAGTCCCTGCCCTCCTCCTGCTGCCCACACTAGTGCTGAACGAGATCAAGTTCAGATAAGCACAAGACAGATTTGAAGATGATTAACAGAACACTCCTCAAGCTGTTGTGAAGCAGTGAAGCACCCTGGCTGTTCCCCCAGACACTGCACTTCCACAGCCCTTCTGCACACAGGCATGTTACCCATCTCACAGAGTTTCATGTGGCACAGCAGTGGCAAAGAGTTTAGCCTCTCAAAGTTAGTCAAAGACCAAAGTACAACAACCGACCAAAGGTGAAAGGTGTTTACCTTGGCTGCCTGTGTGTTTTTTCCAGATTCTGTTTTGGTTGTTGGTGTGGGCTGAAACATAAGCAACACATATTCAGACAGAAATTAAAATGCTTGGTTACTTCTAGGGGGTCAGTTAGTTACTTAAAGAAGAGTATCAGACTGGTCCACGCTGGTGATCACACACACTGTGTCACCACACACACTGTGTAACTAACACTCACTGCTTTGACTTGGCAAATCACAACACCCTGGAGCAGGTGTCCATGCCAGCAATCTGAGAGCACTCTCGTGTCTGCAAACACACACACGCTTCTCAAATAAAGGATGGAGAAGAGAGGAAAGGAAGATGCTAAACACATATAATTAGCACTTTGATTTACACCTGAAAATTTTCCATGTGGCCATGCCACAAAAAGTGATTGCTGTGATTCAGATCAAGTACAGTAATACAGAACTACTAGTAGAAAGTAAGAACATGTAAGAAGAAACACTGAATATTTTAAAAAGTTCTATCTATAAGAGGAGAGAAAACCAAAAACGTCAGCCTCCTCACCATGTTTTTCTTACTGTTTTTTTCTTGCTCTTGCTACTCCAGCTGTGCTACTGTTAACAGGAAAAGAGCCCCACAGAAGGGCTACAGGGAAGTCACCTAGGGACACCAAAGGGAAGGCTGCTGCCAGCTGTGGAATGGCTGGGAAGCACATGGACCCGAGCAGGGGCTGTGGTTTGATCTGCCAGGAGCAGCATGGGGAGAGCAGAGCAGGAGATGCTGGCCTGGGCCCTCTTTCCCATTGGGGCTGGCATCCCTACATGTCCTCTGCAGCCAAAGAGGGACACCAGCTCCATGTTCCTCTGGAACTCCTCCTGTGTGTCCAGAGGAGGCCACAAAGATGATCAGAGGGCTGGAGCACCTCCCCTATGAAGACAGGCTGAGGAAGTTGGGGTTGCTCAGCCTAGAGAAGAGGAGGCTCCGTGGTGACCTTATGGCAACTTTCCAGTATCTGAAGGGGCCTACAAGAAAGCTGGGGTAGGGCTTTTTACATGGGTGTGTAGTGAGAGGACAAGGGGCAATGGTTGGAAGTTTAAAGAGGGGAGGAGATTCAGGTTGGACATTAGGAAAAAGTTATTTCCTATGAGGGTGAGGAGAGCCTGGCCCAGGTTGCCCAGGGAAGCTGTGGCTGCCCCATCCCTGGCAGTGTTGAAGGGCAGGTTGGATGGGGCTTGGAGCAGCCTGGGCTGGTGGGAGGTGTCCCTGCCCATGAAGGGGTAGGGCTGGATGGGCTTTAAGGTCCCTTCCAACCCAAACATTTCTATGATTCTATGTCCCATTGCACTGCATCCACCTGCAGCAGAGGGCTGCAGTCCTAGGGAGGAAAAGATGTTCCACTTCCCTTCCACTGCCTGCTTCCACCTGCACTGTGCCAGTATCCCAGAGGCCACATTCTCAACTGACTCAGGAAACCGAAAAATAGCCTGGAAAATAAACACAGCATTTTTTAACCAGCTCCCCAGCTCACAGCACAGTTGCACAAATGCATGCAAAAGGAAGAAAGCCAACTGGGATGTGGTTTTGTGAGTGGGCTGTGGTAGCACTTTGCTTCCTCCATTCCTCCAGCAACAGCCACAGGCTGTCTGCACTCCTCCCTGGTTCTCCAACCCTTCCACCTAACCCCTGGACTTCGCCTACCAAACCAGAACTTCCACATTCCTTCCTCTGCAGCCCAGACTCACAGCTTTCAAAGAGAGGAGTAATAGTGAGCAGTTTACTTGAGACTAAGGATCCACAGACACAGCAATAAATGCTGCAGAGGAGTCCAGAGCACGTTCAAGAGCAGTTGCACACCACGGACAGGCAAGCGAGACGTGGTTATAGCAGGTAATTAGGGAAGAGTAGCTAATTTGTAAGAAAATGAGGACTAGACACGAAAGTGATTCAGCAACCTTATTTCTTTATAAAGAAGCCTGCTGTCAAAACGCAGAGACTTGCTTAACCTTGCAGGAGGAAGGCATTAATAATTCAACAGACTTTAAAATAAAACATTAGTTGTCTCACACATGCAAATGCAGGACAGTGTTTAAAACGGCTTTGTGTTGCTTTGTGTTGCCAGTCTCTGACATGCTGAAATATCCTATGCCTGGACTACTCTGCTTTTGTCTCACTCTGCAAATAGACTACAGATTTATTGCATTTCAAATTTCAAGCAGGGAAAGACTGTAACAACTTTTAGAGAGCAGGCTGGATTAAATTCTATGAAGAGGAAACTAATACAAACGAGCGCTCTCAGAAACACAACAGGAAGGTGAAACTGGAGACTTGGGGGCACCTTCATGTGTGAGCAGCAATGAGCACACACAAACGGAAATGTTTTAATTGTCATGCAGCTCACTGATACCAGTGTAACCATCTGAAATGTGTGCATGGAGGAAAAGGGTTCTAAAGGTGGAGGGGAGTGCAATGGCTGGCTGAGCTCAGGTTGGAGTTGGAGGCCCCTCAGGGATGGGTGCTAAGAAACAGGAGGTGACAGATAAAACCTGAAGCCAAGGAACTTCCCCTGTGGTAAAAGGAAAATGATCATGGTAACAAGGCCACCAAAGGCCAGACTGGCTATTCCAGAGGTGCTGTGCAATCTGCACCCGCAGGCACCCACAGACTGACCTGGGGAGGGAGCAGGCTGTGCCTGGGCAGGGGAGCCCAGGGTACTCCCTGCACCTCCTCCACTCCCACCTGCAGCAGGTGCAGACACCCCTCAGCTCCACCACTGCTCAAGCCCCTGCTGGCCTCCTGTGATATGCAGTATTTTGTAATTTTCACAGTTATGATTATGGGAAATGGGGGAACGAGGGAATCATTACTCATTTGTTTAAATAATACAGGTAAATTGTTAGGCAACAGAGGCGTAAGCGAGGATTATGACTCTTCTAACAAGTACAGTATGTGATTGATGACACAGCCTTGACACTGAGAGGTTCGAGTCATAAGACAAGACAGAACAAGGCAGGGAAGCTGTCAGGTAGACAAAGATATGAGATTAAGGAGAAAATGCAACTGTACATACATTAAGAGCTATCCTGAATTCTCTGAGCATGTGAAAAATTGTCTTTAGGTAAATAACCCTGTAGTTGCACTGGGGGGAGCTAGATACATGTCACAAAAGGTGACTGAGCTAAAAATAAAATCAGTATTGCTGTCATAAAATCCTCCAGGTACTTTGTACAGCATTTTTTAGGTATTTCTATTTTTTTTTTAGGAGGAAAATAAGCTGCAGAGAAGAAACAAACAAAGTAAAGTTACTCAGTACCAAAGCATGAAAAAAGAAATTCCACTGCTTTTTTATTTTTTTATTTGTGCCTAATTGTAAGAATGAGTTTATCAGGAATTCATACCTTTATTTCAGATGGCTTCATACTCTGTGGTTTTGATGCATCCACTGATGGGAACTGCTTCTGAGAAGGGGGAAAAAAAAAAGGCAATTAATTAATTTAACCTTTGTTAGATATACTGCTATTAAGCAGGAATCAGCAACCTGAATTAACTAGATATCAGCTAAAAATTGAATAATAAGTTACTGCTGAAAATTATAATTACCATTTTAGATCTTCTGTCCTGTATTTCTACAACACACATATGTAGGATCTCAACAGTGTGATGCCCACAGATTTTCTGATAACATTTTTTTCCTGAAAGCAAATTTTGTAACAAGTGTCAAAACTCAAATCCTGCTCTCACACTGAACCATCTCTATAACCTACCGTGCAGCACTGTCCCTGAATTATTTTAGCATTTAACAAAAAAAATACTTACAGATTTACTAGTTTGTCACACAAAAAATTTAATGTTAAATCAGCAAACTCACACAGGTTGAGATAAAAGGAATTAATCCATGTGTAACACACAAGTGTTGCTACATATCATGCAACCATGTTCCCCTGGCTTCAGTGGCGTTAATCTGTGAACAGTGTGTTTTAATTCTGCTGTGACTGTACTAAACTTCAAAGCTCAGAAATGAATATTCTTTCTCACCAACACTTTATCCAGCTGCAATACTACCCCTCTACTACTCCTGCTTCATGTTCCTCTGCTTAGAGCTGCCTTTGCCACCTCAATCACAGCAACACGTTCATAGTTTACATTTAAACAAACAGCAAAAGTTATCAATTTCCTAGATTTTTTTCTTCCTGTTTACCATTGTCAGTTGCTGTATGAAAACACACATTGAACAAACCCAGAAGCCATGTTCCTATGCCATACCTGGGGTGACTTCAACATGGAAAACATTGCATAGCAGAAGCATTTCCCAACAACCAGACAGAACTGCACAGATTTCAAAGCTGCCCTGTGGGGATGACACTGATGACACTGTGCTGTCCCCACCAGCATATCTGGTATCCTGCACACCTTAGTAAGAGGTCTGACTACTCTAAATACACACCAGAGAGGAACTTGCAATTGCCACACCACAGAGATGTGAACAAGGGATATCTGCTTCCACAGATGTGTGTGTATATATATATATATATATATATATACACACATATATATATATATATATATATATACTGACTGCATAATAGATGGGAACTTCTGTAGAGGTGGAGACATACACAGGAATGTACAGAGCCTCCTACCTGAGGACAAGGAACAAGTTCTTAAACACCCTTGTTACATATTTTCACTACAACCACCAGGTAAACTTTAGGCAACACCTTATTTTTCTTCATTTGTCCTGTAATAGTTTTTCCTTTCCTGTTCTTTCTTCTCCATGAAATTAATCTGAACACTTTCTACATGACTGACAAGCAGGCATCTGTTCTACCCCTTTGTATTAGTCACTCTAGTCCCTGTCCATTTAATAAGAACACATTTATCTGAGCCCTTCTCCCTTCCTCCCCTCTGAAAACTCCCAACAAGCCTTCTTCTTGCAAAGCACCAAAAAGTCTGAGCTCCAGCACAGCAGCACCTCTACAACCTGCAGAGATTAATGAAAGTGTCCCAAAGACACCAGCTGCTTTTTATCTCTACCCTGCCCAGCCAGATGGCAGCAACTGGCAGCAGCTACCAGACATGGTGTCCAAGCTGAGGAGACAAAACCCCTTCATGCACGGCTGCTGAGGGGTTACTGGGGGATGCCAGGCCACCTTCAGGGTTGACTGGAGGAAAAAACCCTGTCCCAGGGAGCCAGAGGGCATGGGGCACTCTCCTACAGTGCTGCACCACCACAAAGATCTCCCGGCTCCCTTGGGGGGATGATTCCCTGGCTCCTCTGGGGGAATGATCTCCTGGCTCCCTTGGGGGGATGATTCCCTGGCTCCTCTGGGGGAATGATCTCCTGGCTCCCTTGGGGGGATGATTCCCTGGCTCCTCTGGGGGAATGATCTCCTGGCTCCCTTGGGGGGATGATTCCCTGGCTCCCTCCATGGGATGATCTCCTGGCTCCCTTGTGGGCACACTGTGCCTCGACAAATTTACAGCCGTTTTTGCATGAATTCCCCACTATTCAGGCCCTGAATCTTCCATTCTCTCCCTGAAACGAGACACTTACCAGGAGGAAGGGGGTTCCTTGTCCCTCCCAGCCCGGTCTGTAGCCACAGAGCCCTGCAATGTGACAACACCAGGAGCTGCCCGGGTCCAGCCCCTTGCCTGGCAGCTGCTCTTTGCTGCCTCTTGTCCCGGTTTTCCTCTCCCCAGGGCTGTGCCCAGCTGTGATCCGGCTGCATGTGCTGCAGCCTGACAGCCGGGCAGGCGAAGCAGCACACGGGGACGTGTCAGGCGTGGAAGTAAATATTAAAAGGCTGCCTGGCAACCGGCATAACCCCGGCCTGACGCACGGGCCCGGCACACCCTGCGCCCAGCACCTCGCAGAGGAAAAGCAAGAGTGGCCTGGTTTGAGCCAGATACTTTCCCTTTTACTGATTTTTTCTTTTTTCTTTTCCTTCAGTAAGCTTTCTTTTAACTAGCAGCAAAGTCTTCCAGCTTGGAATGATAACAAACGCTGGGATGTTTGTTACTGCCAGGACCCCGAAGTCACGCCGGTGCCAGCTCTGGCACCACCAGATCTCTGACCCCCCGCAGGAGGCTGAGTTAGACAGACAGCAAAACTGGCCAGAGAGATTCCATTCCATGGAGCTACGTGAGCTCACAGGAAGGACAGAGAGCACACAAGACAACTTCCTCCCTGCTGCTTCTTCCCTCCTCCTCCACCCATGGCCGGCGCCCGCGCAGGACTCCGTCCATCCCTCCCAGGGACCCCCAGGCTCCAGCTCTCCTGACCCTCATCACCCTGCCCTCTCTGCAGCAGCTCCGGGACTTCTGGGGACTGTTCCCAGCTCAGGAGATGCTGTGGGAGTCGCTGGGGGTGGGGGGAGGCAGGAGGGGTTTACACATTCCTGAACACATCTGTGTGTCGTTGTACGTATTTTCTTTTATCATTAGTGTTTAATTAAAGCTGTGCAGTTCAGTTTTCAACCCAGAAAAGTCTCCTCTCTCTCCTTCCCTACCTGGGTGGGAGTGGGAAGGGATGGAGAGCATTGCTGCTGATCGTGAGTCAAAGGGTGACAGAGAGCAAAGGGGTGCCAGGCAGGTGCTGCTGCAGAGGGAGCCAGGTTCTGGTTGAGCTGTTAGGGATGCTCCACAGCAGGTGGGAGAACGAGCATCAGAGGTGCTGGCGGCTGTTCCTGAGGCTGCATCCCCAGGGCCTGGCCCTGCACGGGTACTCATGCTGCAGGACACCCCGAGGGCCTCTGTCCCAGCCTGCAGGGAAGGACCCTGCCAGCAAGGGGCAGGCTGCAGGTCCCAGCCCACGGACAGCTGCTGCACAGGTCTTCAGAAAGCACCGCTGCCAGCCATGGGAATTATCTCCCCAGGGAAGCGGGGGGCTCCACAACATTGGACACTTCAAGGATTAGGCTGGCCCACCTTGTCTAGACTGTGCTCTTGCCAAGAAAGGTTGTTTTGCCAAGACCTGTTATTCTGCTATTCTGTATTTCACCTTTGCAAGTTGGAAGAGGAGGCAAACTCCTCAGCAAAGCATCCAGGGCAAAAAGGGACTTGACCAGCTGCTCCCACAGAGGAATCCACCAGCAGTGCAAGACCACCCCTACTCCCACCATCACAGAAGAGGCTCAAAAGGCAGAGAAGGGGCTAACAATGATTAAGTGAAGACTCCTACTTGTTCATTACCCCACCCTACTAGCAGAGCTGCCAGGTGACAGCACCTGTGGGGTCACAGCTCATGCTCTCTCCACCCTGCCCAGCAGGCAGGACTGGCACAAACAAGCACAGGAACTGACCAATGGACCTCAGATGCTTTTGGCCACGAGTTAGGAGAATAGCTTTAGAGGAAGGGCTGATGAAGAGACTGGGGATCTTATTTGTTAAGAGAATGAATACCCCTAGAAACTCTTTGGTCACATTAATGGGACAGTCACAACAGTAAAACTGTCACAGAAACAGAAAGGTGGATGAGTAAAACAACAAACATGCCTACCAAAAATGGGTCCTCTAGCTTGACTGTGTGTACCTCAGGAATCTGGAAGTAAAAGGGAAAGCACAACAGGAGAACAAAACAGAGAAAGTAAAGATGACAAACATCATGAGAACATAATTTTAACTACTGAGGGAACTGGATGCAAATGCCTGTTTGGAAAAAAACAAATATGGCAGGTGGAGAGGTCAGTGAGGCCTTTCAGTTATGGAAAGCTGGAAATAATTAAAAGTACCCCATATGCAATGAAACCAAGAGCTATCGTCAACTGAAACTATAAATTTTGGATATTGGTGAAGATTTATCAGACTTGAGAAGGTTGTTGCCCACCCTTTGAAAGAAGCATCCAGGGTAACAACACACCAATGAGCTGCCTTCAGAAAGAGATCTTGAAACACCTGCCAAGCAACCAACACCAAAACACTTAGATGATAACTAGAGAATAAGTTAGACCAACAGATTGGTCAAGAATAAAGCATGTAAAGGCAACACAACACAATACACTGAAACACGGACAGAAGCCAGGGTGGGTAAGAACAAACAAAGCTCCAGAGGCGGTCATGCTGTCACTGCAACTTCTCACAGTACCCGAAGTGACATTTTCCAACATGAAAACAGGGAAGCTGGTGTGTAACACTGGGTTATGAGCTTGCTTTCAGTCAGCTTCCAGCCTGGGCGTCTGTGGGGAACAGTCCATCTTCTCTCCCCCCACATAAGACTAAACAAAATGCCTTTCAAGCCAGCAAAGCTTGAGTGGCATCTTTTAGGCGATTTAGCCAAGGAGGGTCTGGAACAGGCCCCTTGCTCTACCAGGTAAGTCCACAGCAAGAAAAGAGCACAGAGTTATGATAACTGGCAGAAAAAATGAACAATAGGTTAAAGATGCCTCTGACAGAGTACCTACCTGGCTAATGCTAACTGGCT